TATCTTAAAGCAGGCTGGCTGGGGAATTCTGGGGATTGAAGTCCACCCTTCTTAAAGCATCTGGCTGGGAAATTATGGGAGTCGATGTCTTCTTAATGTTGCAAAGGTTGAAAACGCTTCCTTGGAGTAACATTGAACTTTCAAAGAGAGCCCGTGCTTCCCTGCTGTGGATGATGGGGCCTTGTCTTGCAGCCAGGCCTTCAGAGCCCCTCCTCTCTGCTTGCCTTGCAGCCCTGCCTGCGGTGGCCATGGGTCTGAAAAGCGCCCAGAAGGCCTTGTTCCCCTTGCGCTCCGTCTCCGATGTGGTGCGCCTCTTCGAGCTGGAACTCCACCGGGAGCAGCCGGATCTGGTGCTCCTCTCCTTGGTTCTGGGCTTCGTGGAGCACTTCTTAGCCGTCAACCGAGTTCTTCCCACCAACGTTCCTGGCATCAGCTTCGAGCTGGCTCAGGGTCCCGAAAACCTCACCTACTTCCCCGTGGCTGACTTGAGCATCGTGGGCGCCCTGCATGCCCGCTTCACCGCCCAGATCCGTGGCGCCGTGGATCTCTCGCTCTACCCCCGGCCGGACGGTTACTCCTCCCGGGAACTGGTCAAGAAAGTCTCGGACGTTATCTGGAACAGCCTGAGCCGTTCTTACTTCAAGGACCGAGCCCACATCCAGTCTCTCTTCAGCTTCATCACAGGTGGGAGATCTTAGGAGATGCTGCCCAGGGGGAACAGACAGACCATCCTTGACTTACGGCCATAATTGAGCGCAGAATTAGGGTCATAAGTTATTTCGGTGATTAAGCAGATGTGAATGTCCCAATTTTTCTACATTTGTTTGCGGCAGTTGTTAAGTGAATCATTAAGCGAACTCAGTGTCCAAAATGGGTGGGGTTTTTTTGTGTGCTGGATTTGGAAGTAAATGCTGTGTCAACTCGTAAAATATTTCTATGGGTCTTTTTAGAGTTGCCAGCAGAAAGGGAGGGGGAAGCAGTGCAGCAGCTTGCAAAACCGAAATTGCATTCCACAAATGTTTTCAAAGACAGTAACTAGGTGACGGAAGTTTCTGCCAGGCAAAATTCTAACTGGAGAGCATGATTGATGACTCTGGGCTACGGAGGTGTCCCATTGGAGAATACGAATTACGATACACCCAGGAGTTGGAGGGAAAACCAGGATCAAGAGTGGCAATGAATTATGTGTCTATAGTTGGCTATACTAAGGCAGTGCAGGCATGTTAACTCCCAATAAATCCTTTTGAAGTTTTGGAAGTTTGGCTCGAGACTCAGGATTTAATTGGGGTAACTGCCGGAATCCTGACATGCTGGTTTTTCTGACAAAAAAAAAGTTGTAAATTGCAGTCATGGAACTCTGGAACAATGCAAAAACCGGAGAGGTAGGCCGGTTGCTGGATGTCCCAAATGAGAGGGATCACATGACCGGAGGGCCAAAGAATTGGAGCTTTGAATCTGGGTTGTAAATTTTGGGGGTCCATTTGTTAAAGATGCTGAGGGTTCAAGACCCAAGTGCTTTGCAATGGGCTGAGCTCCCATTCCTTGCTCCAGGTCCTGCTCACCTAGCAGTTCGAAAGCAGGCACATGCGAGTAGATAAATAGGTACCACTTCGGTGGGAATTGTAATAGTGCTGTGTGCGCCTTGGTGTTTTGTCATGCTGGCCACATGACCACGGAAGCTCTTCGGACAATGCTGGCTTCCTCAGCTAAGAAATGGAAGTCAGCACTGCCCGCTAGAGTTGGACACAAGTGGATACGTAGTGCTCAACTGCAATGGAGCCTGAAATTTATGTTGCTAAGTGAGACAATGGGTTTTGGCCCGTTTTCTGACCTTTCTTGACACAGTTGTTAAGTGAATCACTAAAGTTATTAAGTTAATAACATATTTGTTAAGTAAACCTGGCTTCCCCGTTTACTTTGCTTGTCACGTGACTGTGGGACACTGCAACCGTCATAAATATGAAACAGTTGCCAAACGTCCAAATTTCAGTCATGGAACCATGAGGATTTTGCAAAGGTTGTAAGTGCGAAAAATGGTCAGAGTTTACTTTTTTTCAGTGCCGTTGTAAGCTTAAATGACCTGTTGTAAGTTGAGGGCTTCCTGGACTGTTTTTGTAACTTCGAACAGTCGCTCGTTGTAAGTCAAGGACCACCGGTGTTCCTATCCTTCATATTTTGCCATGTTTAGTCTTTTGTAAGCCACCTACAAGAGTATAAATTGAAGAATAGGTTTGGTCAAATGTCGGTCTAATGTTGGTTTAATGTTTCTCTGGCTCAGGTACCAAGTTAGATAGTTCTGGAGTGGCCTTTGCGGTGGTCGGAGCCTGCCAGGCCCTGGGGCTCTACGATGTGCACCTGGCACTCTCAGAAGACCACGCGTGGGTTGTGTTTGGCAAGGACGGGGAGCAGACGGCCGAGGTCACGTGGCACGGGAAAGGCAATGAGGACCGGCGTGGGCAGACGGTCAACTCGGGCGTGGCTGAACGGGTAATGGAAAAGGGCTTCTCTTCTTGTTTTAATCCTTGTTTGCATTTCTCTGTGGTGGCTTGTCGGCCGCCGGCCCCTCCAGCAGCCAAATCAGGAGGAGGAAGAGGAGGAGGCGTGGGAGTCGGGGTCAGCATCACCTGAGAGTTCAGAGGGGGAAGAGGAGAGGCGGAGCCTGGCCCGTCCGTCAGCCCTCAGATGGAGAGTCAACAGCCCCCCCCAGGTCTGGAGGTGGCTGAGGAGGAAGAGGAGGAACAGCCGAGTCGAGTGCCTGACGCGTGGATGCACAGAAGGCAGAGGAGAGGAGAGCAGTGGAAATCTATGGGCCGGCCCTTGGGACGGAAATCCCACCACTGCTAGCAAAGCCCCACCCAGGCTCTAGGGATCAAAGGCAGGGGGCGGAGATGAATAGGGGTGGCAGACAACTATTCATCACCCTGCTGGACAGACTTGCTAGCCTGCAGTGAGAGAGAAACTTTTGCTGGGGCTGCCGGCGCTCCTAATAAAGGAATCCTTGCTTGAATTACAGAGGGTTTGTTGTGTTGGGGAGCTGGGTCAGGACATTCTCGCTGAAAAATCCATGCCAGAATTTCCTTCTTTCCTTATTAGATTCTTGAGAATTGCTGAGGTGCATTGAAGGCATTTTAGAGGCTAAGATGACTTGGCTGCCTTTGTTTATTTGGGTTTTTTTAATCCCACCTTTATTATTTTATAAACCACTCAAGGCAGCAAGCATCCCTAATAGTCATGCCTCCTCCTAATTTCTCCACTACAACAACCCTGTGAGGTATGTTGGGCTGAGAGGGAGTGATTGGCTCAGTCACCTAGCTAGTCCTAAGGCAGGACTAGAACTCACCATCTCCTGGTGATTGGTCCATAGTCACCCAGCTGGCTTTCATGCCTAAGGCAGGACTAGAACTCACCATCTCCTAGGGATCTTTAAACCTATTTAAAGATGAGTGAAATGGATAATGATATGAGATGATATTATATAAGATTGGTGGAAATGAAAGTATGATTATGTACAAGTGTTATAATCTGGAACCACGTTGCCCACTTAAAGAGATGTGTAAAAATTAAAAAACTTTTTGGGCAAAAAAAGTGATTGGTCCTTAGTCATCCAACTGGCTTTCATGGCTAAGGTGAAACTAGAACTCACCATCTGTGATTGTGATTGGCCCAAAGTCACCCAGCCAGCTTTCAGGCCTAAGGCAGGACTAGAAGTCACCGTCTCCTGGATTCTAGTGCAGGGGTCTTCAAACTCGACAGCTTTAAGACTTGTGGACTTCAACTCCCAGAATTCCTCCTCCTCCAGTCATGTTAGCTCAGGGATTCTGGGAGTTGAAGTCCACAAGTCTTAAACTTGCCGAGTTTGAAGACCCTTGTTCTAGTGTGATACCTTCACCACCAGAAAAGGATAGGAGTCTGGCTTGAATGTATCAGTCGTTATTCTGCAAGTAAACCGAGCCCTGATTCCTGCTTCAAACCTCTTCTCTTTGCAGAGCTGGCTCTACCTTAAGGGGTCCTACCTGTGTTGCACTCGGCAAATGGAGGTTGCTTTCATGGTCTGTGCCATCAACCCCTCCATTGACCTGCACTCCGACAGCCTGGAGTTGTTGCAGCTCCAGCAGGTGAGCGAAGCACAGGTCTCGCCTGGGGCTTGGTTGGGGCAAGAGAAGATCCTCTAGTATCTATCTATATATATATATATATATGGAATGGTCCTTATGATATGGCCTTCATATCTTCTCTTCTAAGCCATCTTCATCTTCAGGGGCGTTTCATGGTATATGGCAGTGTTTCTCAACTGTGGCAACCTTAAGATAGGTGGACTTCAGCTCCCAGAATGCCCCAGCCAGCTTGCTTTCAGAGTGGTGGGCTTCAACTCCCAGAATGCCCCAGCTAGCTTGCTTTAAGAGG